AAATTGTAATTATAGGATCAAAACATGATTTATTTATTTTTGGGGGATCATCATGAAAGGTTAAAAAGCCACATAGATCTCAGATTTTGCAGGCCCCACCAAATACATTGTAACATCTTCACTGGAAGATCTCTGGACCTTGTCATATCAGATTGGAGAGCGTTTAGATATATACCATAATCGAAAGGTAAACTTGTTACATTTGCTGAAAGTTGTACAGCGCATGACTCGTGTAAACGCGAGACATTGAACATCTTATTGTTTCCTGGAGTGAATCTACTGCAATAGAAGAAATATTCAACTGTTTCCCCACATATATCTTCAAATTCACATATATGCTCCTGTCAACAAACTATCTTTCGTTCCACAGCAAAAAAGTACCACAAGGCTCCGAATAGCTGAAGGACCAATGAGCAGATAGTCAATAATCAATATTAAATTCAAATATGGAAGATTAAGATTGAAACTTACATGAGCAGCAAGGATGAATGGAAGGAAGTCCAGAGCAGCTTTAAGAAATCTTTTTACTGCCGTCTCTATGTTAGCATGCTGATCGAGCCATTGGTAGAGGTTATAAGCCCGTAGAGTATATTGGATTGGAATTAGATAAAATAGCTGATGGTACGTTTTAATAAGGTTTGTATATTTTCCAACAAGTATGATTGCCTGGATACATTTAAAGCCAACAGTTAAAATTTGATAACTTTGTAAATAATTATTAACATATGAAGATTACTGTTTAATTATTAACCTAGATAAGATAGCTGTAGCTTCTCTTCGGTACGATCTTATATACCTGTAGAATAGGAAGAGCAGCACAAATGCGAGGTAGAATGCCTATGAACCTAAGTGATTTCTGGCCATTCAACACCTTGCAAATTGTGGAATGAGGACCGCCAAAAAACTTTATCCAGGAGGTCCCAAATGGCTTGGCATTAACATTGCCGCGACGCCGCTTTATGAAAACGAAAATGTCCGTTGCATAAAATAGATCACCGGCTGATCGTAAGGCGAAAAATGTCCACATCAAGGTTTGGTCCCAATAGTAGCACGTGCTATCTTCGATGATGACGGGAACGTAGCAGCTCAAAGGATCAACGAACACAGCAAATGCAGATGCTACTGTAAATATGATATCCCACTTTGGAAGGAATATTTTTGGCTGATGATGAATCTGATATGCGTTAATAACAACTTTCTCCAGTTTTGACCCTTTTGCTGCAGCACTACTTGTACTTCTATGTCCTCCATCTTCCTTGAGCTTGGAAGATTTCCCCTCCTCTAAAATAATATTCTCATCTAGATTACTAAACAAGACACAACAAATTAACAAATATATAATCGTGTCCAAGAGAAAGAAAAATTAAGTATATATTGGTTATATGCACTTCTAGCATGTATATATAAGTGATGAATATAATATACTTAATTTTAACATTCACGTGTTCTTCATTTTTACCTTTTGGCTAGCTAGATTATATGTATATTAATTGTGTGCATTATATAAAAGAATAAAGCGCTTTTAATTGTATAAAAAAATTAAGTACTTTTAATAATTTGTTTCTATTATTTACCTTGAATGACAAAATAGTTATAAAAACTAAGTAATAAATGAAAATTGGGTTTTTATTCAATAACTATAATAGGATGGTTTCTCTTAACATTTTGGTCATTGACTGGGTCCATATTGAAAGGCCCTATAATTAATCAAGCAATAAAATAGATTTTTCCTAACAACTACTATATATATATGTATATATATATATGTATTCTCCTTCTATCCTTGTCAAAAATCATGCAAATTGAAAATCATTAAGGAATCTAATTAAGACCAACAAAATTAATGAACACGGTGTTTTAAGAAAGTACTTGAATTTCAATAATTTATTTAAGTGGTCAAATAATATTTGATTCAAGTGATTTTTTTTTATATAAAAATGATCTTTGAATAAATATCTACAAGTGTACTAAAAAGTCTTTACGCAAATATATATGTATAGTGTAGTGGTATTGTGTAGTAGAAAAGTTGTTTAATTGGTCATGGTGGATTGGATTAAAGCCAACTAATAAAACATGTTTAAGCCACTACAAATGCGAGATCCTATTGTTTCATAAAACATCTACTTAATGAAAAAGAAAAATCTTCTCAAAAAAAGAAAAGAAAAAGGTCTTAGAGTACATAAAGAAATTAACCTCAACTCAATTGATACTTCATCCACCGGATTGATCATGTCTCAAGCTTATTTATGACGCAAGATCCTCTCTGAAGTGTACGAATTATTCACAAAACCCAGGTAGCTCGCTCTCGTTAAACCACAGCTCCAAATAATATTGAGTACGTACTCCTGCGAATAGTAGCCAAATATGGAGAAGAGTGGAAGTTAGAGAATTATCAAATTAATATCAATCTTGTCTATGTGTGAAGAGACTAAAGTCGTGGTAATATATATATATATATATATACATATATCTCACACATCCGGATGTCCGCAGTTATCGTGCAGATCGTAAACACAAAAGAAAGCATAGAGATAGAGGGGTAACATAAAATATATGGCGTCCGTACGATAATAATGTTTGGATATCCACATGACGTCCACGCGTTATTCCCTCAAAGATCACACATGCAAAAATTTGACTACTCAATATCATTGTAAGTTTGTTTTCTTGAACCATCAGGGTTGTTAATTTTATTGATCACGACTAGATGTCTTAATGGTTTCCTTTGTCTACTATATATTATATATAGAGAAGTTTTCCTAAAGAGAAAAGAAAAAAAGTTCTGAGAGTTAGAGAAAGAAACTAACCTTTCAATCAGGAATTGAAGGGAGAAAAAAAGCTAACCTTATGGCTGTTGAGTCCGGGATTGGAGTCCTCCGTAACTCAAGCTTATTGATGATATATATAAGCAGCAGCTAGGAGCTTGTTCAAAGTCAATTATGTGTGCGTGGAAAACTAAAAGTTGGATGTCATTATCAAAGTTGGAAAACTAAATATAATTTGACCCCACTCTCTCCCTCAAATGTCATGGTATTTACTAAAAAAAAAAATTAAAATAAGTTTTTCATTTCTCTGTTTTGCCCCTCTAACAACCATCAAATTTTGATTCTCTTACCAAATATTAATCCAGTCCTAGTGAGAATACTTACAAATCTGAGACTGAACTTATAAAGACAAAAAAAACCTGAGACTAAAGAGATACTGACAGAGGGAGAATTTGGAGAGAACGAAATGAATTAAACAAAAGTATTATCATATTCTATTATTGCACAATGAAGTTGAGTGTTATTGTCTTTGGCAAAAAAAGATGAAATAATTGTGTCTTAAAAGCAGATAGGACGTCGATCTTGTTTGCATTCATCTCTTCTGATTTTTTCGAAAAGTAGCAATAAGCAGATAAGAGGCGACCTTTAAGTCTTCGTGCACTCTTTGTGCACAGTTGAGTCTTCGTCATGCGACCTTTAAGTCTTCGTGCACTCTTTGTGCACAGTTGAGTCTTCGTCATGCGACCTCTAAGTCTTCGTGCACTGTGCACAGTTGAGTCTTCGTCATGCGACCTCTAAGTCTTCGTGCACTGTGCACAGTTGAGTCTTCGTCATGCGACCTTTAAGTCTTCGTGCACTCTTTGTGCACAGTTGAGTCTTCGTCATGCGACCTCTAAGTCTTCGTGCACTGTGCACAGTTGAGTCTTCGTGAGGCGACCTCTAAGTCTTCGTGCACAGTTGAGTCTTGGTGCTAAAGGCTTAATGGTTTCAGCATTGATTAATGTCTCCAGTTGTTTTCTGGCATGTCTATTGAAACTAAAAGTAGTTAGATATATAATTCCCCAAAAACTTACCAAACTCTCTCTTCCAAATGTTTCCACGTGTATCTCTCTTTCCAAAGAATTAAAATAATTTTTTTTCTCTGTTTTGCCCCTCTAACAACCATCAAATTTTAATCTTGTCCTACTGAGAATCCTTTACTAAACCTAAGATTGAAGAGATACTGATAGAGGGAGAATTTGGACAGAACGAAATGGAGTTTTTAAAGCAGAAACTTAAAGAAAGTATTTCATATTCTTGTCTTTGGCAAAAAAGAAGAAATAATTCTGCTTTATAAAGTTGAGCAACTCTCTCTTAAAATTATAAGAGGATAGGAGGCAACGTCTTATAATAAGTCTCCCTTTGCAACACACGTGGAATGTAGAGTGGTTTCAATCTATTTTATAATACCTATGCATGCACATATCAATATGTCATTCATCTACATTAATTATAAAACGTAAATTAATAATATTATCTGAGAATGTAACGATGTCTCTAAAAAATTTATGCTTATACACAAAGTAAAATTACAAAGTAAAAAATTTATGCTAGCACCATTATCCTAATCTCGATCCATTGAGCTTTTAAATTACAAAGTAAAATTACAAAGTAAAAAATTTATGCTAGCACCATTATCCTAATCTCGATCCATTGAGCTTTTAAATTACAAAGTAAAATTACAAAGTAAAAAATTTATGCTAGCACCATTATCCTAATCTCGATCCATTGAGCTTTTAAATTACAAAGTAAAATTACAAAGTAAAAAATTTATGCTAGCACCATTATCCTAATCTCGATCCATTGAGCTTTTAAATTACAAAGTAAAATTACAAAGTAAAAAATTTATGCTAGCACCATTATCCTAATCTCGATCCATTGAGCTTTTAAATTACAAAGTAAAATTACAAAGTAAAAAATTTATGCTAGCACCATTATCCTAATCTCGATCCATTGAGCTTTTAAATTACAAAGTAAAATTACAAAGTAAAAAATTTATGCTAGCACCATTATCCTAATCTCGATCCATTGAGCTTTTAAATTACAAAGTAAAATTACAAAGTAAAAAATTTATGCTAGCACCATTATCCTAATCTCGATCCATTGAGCTTTTAAATTACAAAGTAAAATTACAAAGTAAAAAATTTATGCTAGCACCATTATCCTAATCTCGATCCATTGAGCTTTTAAATTACAAAGTAAAATTACAAGAGTGTTAAGAAAAGCTAAAAACAAATATGGTTAATCATAACCTAACATAATGGTTGTTCTGTATCTTGGTTTTGCAAAGTTCCTTCAGTTTATTTGATCAGCATATGTCTTATTATTTGCTTCTGAATGTATGGATTTGAACACATGTATTTGAATCACCTTAGTTGTTGCTTGCACTGCCAAGTCCTAGCTTGATGTATCCTTTTGAGTGTCTAGAATGTCACTTTGAATGCATGCCATGTGTCTAGCCGTTCAGATGACTTTGGATGATTGGGATTGATTCTCATATAATGTTCTCATTTTACCGTTCTCGCCTTATCTGAGCACAAGGAAGGAGCGGCCTCATGCATCCATGGGCCTGTGATAAAACTCTACTTATGGGTCCAAGCCGACGACAGCAAGGAAGTTCGTTTGTTTTTTTTTTTTCATATTTTTTTTCTTAATATCTTCAGTTAAACTTGAACTGTTTGAAACTCAACAAGAAGATTGGCACACACACACACACAAAGGCCATAAATTAAACACGAGAGCGAATCCACAAATTAAAAATTCATAGTAGGTTTTGAGTAACCAAAACAAGAAAAAGAAATAGCATGAGATAATTTGTGTTTTTGACGCTGATGAAACATAAGATACTTTTTAAAGGCTTTTATTTTATCTAGTTTTCATTATTCAAAGGCTTCTCTCTAGTTTTCTCTATAGACTAGTATAAATCCCAAAACAATATGGTATACGTCACAAACCAAGTAGCCCTATATGTCTGTACGCATTCTCTATAGATTTTACTAAAAAAGCAAAGATCATTGATGAACAACACACCTAGCGGCGGTCAGCAGAAACCCAAAACAAGACAAAACAATAAATATATAGGAAAAGGGTGAAGGCCAACGAAACAAGGCCTAACTCCAATATGGCAAGAATTGTTATGTGTTACAAGATCCAAAGCAAACTCAGAGAATTATTAGTAGGTTCATTCATGTACTTATTACTCTCTCTTTTCTTTAGATCCTGTATTTTGATGACGCCAGTATTTCTGCAAGCAAGAAGCTGAGAAATGCTCCAACTGAGAACGCGGAAGTTCCTTTTGAAAACGCCACCAAAATTGAGCGACAACAGACTTCAAGTGGTTGGCCCTAATAGAAAACGCTTCAACTTTTGTTTGGGATACAACAGTCGTAGGGGAGATAGGTAACTCAGAAAATGAGCCGAATTTGAACGCCCAATTTAGAAGTTCTTCTCCATAAAAGTCACTTTTCTCAAGGCACTTGCAAACATTTGTTCCACCCTTAATG